TGAGAGATTAATGCAAGGAAATCAGTAACAAAGCAATTGTCAAAAAGACTGTGAGACAGTTGTGGAGGTGATAGAAGTGGTAAAGAGAATAGACTAAATTACAGTGAAGAGAACACAGGACAAGAGTCCAAGCAGGATTGGACTTTATAGAGAAAGAATCATAGGCTGGGCTTGTAACTCAAATGCTTCATAGATGAGGCATGTAAATAAACATCTAACTTTATCTTTCATAACTGCCAGAAAGTTGAGGTAGGTAGATTATCTTGCATTATCCAGTTGGGGCCTAAAAGTAATCACATGTATCCTTATTATAGTGAGGTAGGGGGAGACTGAAGTCGGAAGGAAGATAGCAGTATGATCACAGAGGCAGAAATCAGAGTGAGGCAGTCAAAATCCAAGGAATATCAGTAGCCACCATAGGCTGTGAGAGGTAAGAAAGAGATATTCTCCTAGAGTCTCTAAGGAAATGTAACTCAACTGTCTCTTTTATTTTATGTCAATAAAACTGATTTTGAATTTCTGGCCTCTACAGCTACTATGAAAGGGGGAAATATTATGTTTGTTTCTTTTTTTTTTTTTTGAACACCAAGTTTGTGATTATTTGTTACAGAAACCTCAGGAAACTAATACATCTATAACAAGCCATTTGGCATTTTCATCAATTATAAGTAGTGTACTATCATATTTCTCAGTCTTATTAAATGTAAAATTTTGAGAGAAGAGTCTTATTGATATATACAGCTTATTGACTAGCTGGTACTTACAATACAGGCAAGCTATCAGATTTGGATAACACCAGGCCATATGGATCACAAACCAATGGGGAGAGAATAGATATGGTGCCTGGGCACTGGTAGACATGTGGATATGCAAGTAGAATAGTGAGGTCAACAAGCATGTAGCAAGACCCTAACCACAGGTTTAGAGACAAACTCAAAATATAAAAGTTAGAAAATTCTAGCACAAAAGAGCAAAAATAGAAGGGACATTAGACATATAGTGAGAAAACCACATGTTCTTAAGTTAGAGAAAACTATGGCTAAAACTAGATTGCCCAACTTATTAAAAATGAGACAAAGAATCACTGAGCACAAGAAAACTTCAGTATTCTAAGTTATAAATGGCATTTTACCTACCATATTTGATTATTTTTTGAAGATTAGGTAAAATATTAGATTATAAATAAGAAAGTATAGTATTTGGTTCATGGCAAATATTCATTCATATCTCTCTCTCTCTCTCTCTCTCTCTCTCTCTCTCTCTCTCTCTTAAGAAAGGGAGCACAAATGTGGCATGGCAGTACAGGTAGTTTAACGTTATGTCAGAAGATCTTGGGATGACACATCTTAAATTCCTCCAGCCTATTGTCATATAGATATTAAATACTGTAGAGAAAGAATTAATGCACATAAGAAACTTGCAAGGGACAGTCATTTTTTTAATCAGAGATGATTAAGAAGGACTTTGGTAATTAGCTGATAGTTACTATTTATAATTAGCCAAGAATTATTTTAAGAATTGACTACTTGCTTTACATAATCACCACATAATCCTTACAATAATTCCATTATCCCCATTTTACATATGAGGAAACAAAGACTAAAGAAGATTAATCAGTTTGTCCAAGGTCACATAGACAAAAATTAATAAACTTGGATTATCACCCAGAGTGATTAATTCAAGACCTTTCTTAAAGTAGGAGAAAATAATAGTATCATCCTACTTTGTCAAAAAATCATATAACACACTCTTAGTTTATTTATTGTACAAGCATGTTTAGGTATGTATTGTGGGTCAGGGGAATTCTTAAAAAATAATCATGACTGGGACCTTTTATTAATGTATGACAAATATCACTAGTCTCTGCCTTTCCTTACCATAAGACTGTATGTAACTTTTCATTTAAGAAACTTATAGGCAGAATAATTTATGACAATGATGCATCCTCAGACTGTTGGTGGCTACAAAAGATTGGTCACCATTTCTCATCATTTAAAATACAGCTCTACATCCACAATGGACATCCATTCATCTGAAATACTCATGGGCTCAAGACTGCCTCTTTATCTCCATTTGGACATTTATTAGGTCTTAAAGGTTAGACAAGAATATATAAAATATTATGCTATAAACACAAGTGAATTCTGCATGTTTATTTTGACCTATAAGACCTTATGTTTTAAACCATAACCCTGATATGAAATCAGACTTTTTCAAGTTCACTAGGACTGGAGCACACTGATCACTTCCCACAGCTTATGGAATTGTGGCAAACTCAATCTGCCTACTCAGCAGTGGCTATATAGATATGAGCAGTAATTGGGTAAATAATGTTCGGTAATCTAGGAAAAGTTACAGTATGGTGTAAGTTTCTTCTAAGCAAATTAATATTCCCCAGTATTACTATATGATTTTAATACAAGGTCAGAAGTACATACATTATCCTGAATATATTTACAAACTAAATTCTTAACTCTTTATAAAACCCAAGGTTAAATTAGTTTGAAAGTCAACCTTAACTAACATGCCAGGGCTTATGCTAAGCACCATAACAGATACTCATTGCCAGGTTATGAATTAAAAGGCTTACTGTTTAGCTCCATGAAATTGCTGTATTCTTCCCTGATGAACAGCATCAAACAAAATTAACAGAGGAACAAGATATAATTAAAAGACTGATATTCATTTAAATCACTTAATGTGGATGACTATAACATTTTCTGTGACAAAGAGTAAGAATTGGAATTGATAAATTCTTTGACATTTAAAATAAATTAATATATTTATATGGAATTATTTTGGAAATCTGTTTTCTGAGGTTATATTTTCTTTGGTTTTTCTGTACTTCCATTGATGAATAAATCAAACAGGTATAGATTTCCAAAGCTTTTCTAAGTATTTACATAGCCCTGAGACCATAGGAATCTCTAGAAGGAAAAAAAAAATCGAAAACAGGGTATTATCTAGGTTCCTTTAGCATCAAAATATTTATTTCTGCACAAAACACACCAGCTTTAGAGTCTTAGAGTCTTTGAGAGTCTTTAGAGTCATAAAGAGTCTTTTTAGGCTGATATTTGTTGTCTTGTTTATAATCATTACAAATAATTATACTGTTACCTTCTTGTAAGAGTTCAAAATACTTAAATAGCAATTTACATTCCTAACTATCCATCATATATAATCATAGCCAATAGGAAACATGGCATACAGAATACAGTATTTGTTTACATGTATCAATGGTTATAAAACTACATCATCACTGAACAATTTGTCTACAGAGAGGGTATTAATCTACCTGGATTCTAGATAGGAAACTGAGGAGTAAAACGAAATGTTTGATTCACATTAATACAGAAAACTGTGGAGAAATAAAATGATGAACTATCTTTGATGACCCATTCAATGTTGCTAAGCTGAAGTCCCATTTTTCTCTTGCTTGAAAAATATATTCACTTTCACAAAATGGATTTGGTCTACTCAAGAAATATAGTCAGGTAACTAATCACCAGCCCAGTCTTTGAGAAATTTATTTTAAACTTCAGCCAAATTCACTATTTTAATTATGGAAGACTCACTAGTTTAACAAACCCACTTTACAGCCCACTGCTCAAAGGCTTTGTTAGCAAGATTCTAAAAGCCAGGTCCAAAATGCAAATGGTACCATCTGCATCACCACATCCATCCCAACAGCACTGCAATTAAATTAATAGTAGACTCTTCAAGATAAACCGGCAGAGACCCCAATCATGTGGAACTGGTTGAGTTTCTATTTAACCTACAGCAAATGGAAAAAAATACACAGCCAGTTCAGTCATGGCTCCCTTAGTCAATCAGTGCCCAAAAGCTGTGTCCAATTTCCCTGACCAAAGGAATTAAGAACCTAAAAAGGAAAGGAAACAGTAAGAAGATGTTAGTTCCCTAAGTACAAATATAAATAGATTTCAATCAAGTGAGCTTCAGTGTGCTGACTGTGTAAGGATTGGCTGACCAAACTGGAACAAACTCAAGCATTAGGATTAAAGGCATAAAGTCTAAAGAATGATTTGAGCTCCTCACAAAAAGGAAGTACATGAAGTATACTTAAAAACAACAACAACATGACCTTGTAATATAGATACACATGCCAATATCATTTAAGGTTAACTAGAACTTCCTTTATTTGAAATTTTACAATCTGTGATTGTATTTACTACAGATTTTGCATTAGCCTGTTTTCATATGAAAAATATTGAACCACATTTAATTTTTATCCCAGAGAAATTTTTTTACTCTTTATTTGATCATACAACTATGGTAATTAGGAAATTCTTAATTTTCTTCCAAAATCATGTATTTGGAAAACCTGAGTATGCTTAGAAACACAACCTTCTGATTGTCCTTGCTTCCTAAAACTTCTTGTGAAGTTTTATGACGACATAGACAACCCATAAAAAAGTGTCAGATTAGTAAGGTAAATCTGGCCATTATTAAAATGCTTCTACTGCAAGATTTCAGTTCCTGGAGTCAGTTCAGTGAAAAGGGATATTAATCATCTTGTAGTCATTGTCCATCGAGTCTTGAGGCTAGGGAGGAAAGCTGTAGGGAAGTGGCCTTCTGCAGTGAGGGAACATAATGACTCTGCATTTCTACACCAAAGAATGTAAAGGCATCCCATGGCAGAGAAATTCAGGTTAAAGAAAAATTGAGCTCTGACTCACAGTAACTTATTAACAAAAGAAAAGTGTTTGTTCAAGTCAAAAAATTTATTTGTGCTGTCATTTAGTAAGAAAAAACAGCTGCAAATAATGTAAAGATGGTCACACACTTTAAAGTTACTGTAATTCCAATTGTTACATATTATTCACACATTTACACCCCAAATTAATAGAGTAAAAGTACTTATTAAAGTAATACCAACTATGTTTAAAAAAATAACCACATTAATCATGTTTTTCTTCCATATGAATACACAAAATATACATCCTGAAATAATAAGAATAAACATAAAATTGAACAATTACCTTTAGTTTGAATTTTCTTTTCAGATTTATCCTGCTTTTCAGTCTTTTCTTTGTGTATTTCTAGGGAAAAACAGAATTTATAATTTAATTTTTTTAAAGTATAAAATTTAAAACATAGTTATACCTAAATTTCATCATTTCATCATAAAGTATACGTTCTTGTGTCTAATAAACTTTTTGATATATTTTAAAAAAGAGTTTGTAAAATATAGCTACAAAAATCACTTATTTACTTCAATAAAGAAAAATTTGAATCATCTCAAAATCAGTTATTTGAAAAAGCTTTAAAATTTGCATTGACAGATGTGTTGTCATCATTTTTAGTGACAAAATTGATCACAAACTATAATTACACTTTATTTCAATTACTCTCAATACAAATTAAGAATATTCAATAATAATGTCATTTAGATTTAGGAAGATTTTGTTTTTACACATTAAATTAAGAATTTGTGAAATGAACTGTAACAGCTATCTAATAGAAAATGTATCTCAGAAGCATTGACTCTAAGCTATGTTTATAATCAGCATTTGGCATTGCATTTACCCAATAATTACTTCAAGCAGATATGACACTTTTCATTGAATAAGTTAGTTGTACATCTTTTCCAAATATCAGATTTTAACAAATATATTCAATTTGCTGCTAGCTTCCATATACATACATTGCCAAATCTTAGCAAATGAAGTTTATTCTGAATTTGTAGTTAATTTGGATAGAAGTAAATTTGAGATTACGGTTTACAAATATGATTACTACCTCTGAAAATGACTTAATCTTAAATATCATGGTTTTTCTTAGGAAAAAAATGCTAGAGGTTTACTTATTTATTTATCACAACTTCATTCCACAGATGATCTGAGGCAGTACTAATTACTGTACAGGATTTGAATTCTCCATTTGTAAGTTTTCATTTGCATTTTGCAATTTTCCTGAAGTCTACGAAATGAAGACTAACCTTAGGAAAACCCTAAATATCCTCAGAAAAGGGCACCTATGAACTTCCACTCATTTGTTATGGAAATAACTATCATTGAATAGTTTTTCTTCCATTTTTTCCATGCATCATTCACTCTACTATTCAGTGTCATTCCCCCACCCTCATCCCATCACTGACTTTGAATATGGTCATAGAGATATGGACAAGATGAGATGCTTATTCACATTTCTGAAAATTTTTCTCCAAGGTAAAGAAAGGAAAGATTCCAAAGAGCATTGGAAACTTCCATCATCCTGCCTCTCTCACAATTTTCTCTCATTCCCTAATATTTCCAAATTCTGCTCTATAGAAGGGTTTCTCAGTTTAGTGCCATGGTCTTTTCTGATTGGGTGAGTCAATAATTGAGGGTGAGGAGTGCTACTGAGTGCATTCTAGGATGTCTAGCCGCATTAGATGGCAGTGGCTCCCATCACTACCCTTCAGGCAGAACAATGAAAAATACCCTCATATGTTGTTAAATGTCCCTTGCTAGTCAAACTAAACCCTAGATGAGATTCACTCCTCTAAAAATACATGATAATCAGAGAGATAAACTCTTTGCCATTGTCCAAACCTACATTGTCAATGCAGTGACAGGTAGACTTCTGTTAGTCTTAAGCACATGATACGTGGTTAGTCCAAGTGGATATTTACTATAACTGCAAAATACACACTAGATTATGAAGACTTGTTTTTTTTTTTTAAAAAAAAGCAAGTAAAACATATTGTTAGTTTTACATTCCTTACATTTTGAAATGATATTATTTTGGATATATTGATGGTAGTAATTTTATAGATGTATCAGTGTGGCTAGGCTCCTATGTGTTTTCCAAGGGATACTAATCTAGGAGTTACTTAAAGATATTTGGCAAATATAGTAAAAATCCTCAATCAGATGAATTTAAGAAGGTGATTCTGAATAATTTGGGTGGGTTGTGTGATTCCATTGAGAAGCCTTAAAAATAAGCCCGAGTTTTCCCAGGACAAAAGATGAATTCTCTATGTGGATCACAGCTTTGATCCATATCCATGAGTTCAAGTTTGCCTATGATCTTCCTGTTCTGGCTGCCTGTCCTGTGGGTTCAGACTTGGTTGACCATTTTCTACAATTACATAACTAAACACCTGGTAATAATTTTTTAACATATAAATGAGTCCCTCTGATCTCTTTCTACTTGTGCTTCTCTATTTGAGCTCTGATAGATTAGATTAAATATTATTTAAATTAATTCTACGATTTGTCTCTCCATTTTTTAATGTAGCTAATTGGAAATTTTAAATTGCATGTATGAATCACATTATATAATGTGTACATTAGACAGTGCTAGTCTAATCTTAAGTGGAACAAAGGACCATCTTAAAAATATGAGGTCAATCAGTGTTGAATCATCTTCAAACGAACTGAAAAAACAATTTTGAACTTTCCCCTATCAGTAACTTTCTTCTTCTTCCTTCCTATCCAAACAAACAGAAATTATGCAAAAGATTGGTGTTTTATATAACTCAGACCCATAAAGCAAGTAAGATGTCAAAGATTTAGAACAGTCATTGGATATGCTAAGGGAGTCACTTTTCATGTGACATTTCATATTCCCAGTAAGCATTAACTGGGGATAAAAAAATGAGATGAAAATTTCAAAATTAAAGAATTAAATGAAGTAATATTTTCTTTGTGATATGAAGCCTTCAAGTTCTCAATTGTCAATCCCCTTGGATGTAGGGATGTTCATTTGTGTGAATGTCTGTATTCCATGGATACTTGCTATCTAATCATAGAAGTCAAGAAGGAATTCTGGAACTCCCATGGGAGAATCAGACATGAGTCACATTTTTCTGCTGGATTTGATGCTAAAAGCAATTTTCTCTGAATAATTCTATCAGAGCATCTTAGCCTAACATAGTTTTGGAAAAAAATCACTGGGCAGAGGGAGGGTTTGTGAGGGTAGATAGTATAGGCTGGTTCACAGCAGGATTCCCTGAAAGGCAGGTAGAAGACTCTGCATCAGAAAACAGATGAGAGAAGCAGTACCAGAAACTATTTTGGCTCCCGTTAGTTCTGTGTTTATAGCAGATGTAATTAAAAGGAAAAAGTGCTAAGTAGAAACCAGAATAGAAATGAGCACGGGTTTATACCAGAGGGGAAAAATAAATATAAATCTTGAAAAAAATCAGGAGAAAGAACACCACTCAGGAAAAAGGAAAAGTGAGTGGTGGGTGGGCTGGGAGGGTAAATGAATTTCCTACACCATATTTAAGATATGAAGGGAGGTAAGTATAAGTGGTAGATAAATACTTGCAGGAAGCTGCACTTTGTATTTTACTTTATCAAAAACAGAACTAAAAGAAAATAAGTATGAAAAATGGCCATATTTCAGAGCAATTTTTTTTTTTACTTTATGATAAATGTTGTGTCTACAGTCCAGTTTTACAACTCAAACCAAGATCCAAGATAAATTCCCAATTAATTTTTCTCATTCTAATACTTCAGCCATACACAGATGAAGACAACCGCTGTTCTGGGTAGGTTCACCAGCTTTCTCCTACGTGGGAGTATCTCACATCAAACAGAAGCAATAATGACTTACATGGTCAGGGTTCTTCTGTTTGTTTGTTTTTTTCAGAAATATCATCAATTAAAATTCATGGTAGAGCCATTAATGTATCTGTAAAGGCGACTCTATATAAACCAGAGATAAACTAGTGAAGGCATATATGCATCTATATTCCTCTGTTTATAGAGGACAAATTTATCTCATGATTTAAACTTAAAAAGAAATCAACATCTCCCTATGTGTTTTATTGCTACATTGCATTTTCTTTGGAGATTGAATTCCATCATAGCCTGTGGCTATCAGATGTCAGAGGATCCCATGAAACCTATACATAGTGTGCCAATTCTGTCTCCTTACACTTGAGCCAGGAAATGATGACCATTTAGGCTCCCGTCCAATTGAATAAGAGCATGCTACCAATTTAGACTTCAGAAAGATATTTTCTCATATCCAGATGATGCCTGATATGTTACCTTCAATTGCTCTTTCCAGCCAAGCACCATTTGTTATAAGATTTGAAAATTAAATATAAAAATTTAAGTCACTAAAGGTAGGAATTTATTATCTTACAGTTTTCAAAAACTTCAAAGAAAACTAAAATTTCCAATACTATATTAACTCCAGTGTTTAGTTATTTTAGTTATTTAATATTTTATTTAGACAGATGAATGCCTTTACTTTGTGTAATGTCATAATTATATGTAATGGTGTAAAACTGTACACAACATATGACATTCTAAGGTATAGTTTACTTAAACCTAAACCAAATCTGAATACAAAGGATAGGAAGAAGATCAAGACAGCCATTATTTACCTCCAATATATGTGCTTTGGAATAGGTGAAAGTCAAATGCTTCTGAAAAGGTGATAAATCTCACTAGATCTAGCTAGAATTAAATGATTTTTGAAACCAAACAATCCTAAAGATTTTGTTACTTAGAAAGTATAAAGGTCAAACTATTTCAATACAGTTGTAAGACTGCCCATAGGTTCTCCATGGATGAGTTTTAATGTCACTTTTGAGAAATGAAGAAGTGAAAAATAACATTAAAAATAGTGACAATTATAAAACATTAAGAGGCAGTGAAAGAGCTAACTTTGATCTACTGAGTCCTGGGTAGCCTTGCCTAAGAAAACCATCCACTGATGTTTTATAGTGTAATAAATGGTATCACAGGCATGGAGGATTTAAGAGAAGGGCAAGTTAATTCCACAGTGATGGGTTATATTTTTCTGTTTCCTTTACTACCTTTAATTTTCCACTGAAACTTTTCTGGCTACATATAGGGAGGTACAACTGAAGATAAATTGTAAAGAGTCCCTCTTTCCTCTTAGATATTTTTGGTTATTCATCTCTCATTCTACAGCAAAAACTTTTGAAGTCACCAGAAAACATTTTTGCTAAATTTTAAATGCATTTCCAACTTTCCTTTATTTAGAGAACACAAATAATTTAAAGTTTAATTTTTATGCTTTATTATTCAATAGAAGTAATGATATACTCCCTATCAAAGCACAATGTCAAATG